TATATTAAAAAAAAAAAAAAGAAAGAAAGAAACCACTCTCTTTTCTCATTCATAAGAAGCAACTCCGATTTGTTAAAGATCTATCACAAGATTGCAACAGTTCAATCACATCTTCAGGATCCACTTGTAATTCTTGTTCTCTTGCTGTTCCCACCACATGTGCAGTTACTTCCTCCACTGAAGTCTTGAACCCCCCTCAGTCATCCATGAGGGCTGACAGGAGTTAGAATCACCTTCTAACTCCTGTTAAATTGCTATGTTGACCTCTTCCCATGAATCACAAATGTTCTTAATGGCATCTAGAATGGTAAATCATTTCCAGACTTTTAATTTATTTTGGCAGCTATAGCCTTACAAAATGTATTTCTTAATTAGACTTGAAAGTTGAAATCGCTCCTTGATCTATGGGGTGAATGTTGTGTTAGCAGTCATGAAAACAACATTAATCTCATTGTACATCTCCATGAGAGCTCTTGGGTGGCCGGGTGCATTGTCAGTGTGCAGTACAATAAAACCTTGATGTAATAGATTAATTCAGGCAATTCCATTAAAGCCAAAAGTCTTTTATATAATAAAGTAGGTTTTCTGAATGCATATGTTAAAAATTTGACATATTAGTTTTTACTTATGTAGATACATTTGTGTAATTAAGTATGTATGAGAAGTTTAATTTCACAGAAATGTTTTCTATACATATTATCGTAATTTGAAATTTATATTGAATAGGTCTAGTAAATGCTTGCATTTACTAGTCACTGTGAATAAACAAATGCATATGGCTGTGGTAAGGCTTAGCACACATCCAAACCTTGACCAGCACTCATTAAAACTGTGGCAGAGCCCTGGCCAGTTTGTTCAGTGGTTAGAGCATTGGCCCTTGGACTGAAGGGTAGCAGGTTTGATTCCTGTCAAGTGCATGTACCTTGGTTGTAGGTTCAATCCCTGGCCCAGTCAGGGCATATGCATCAGGCAACCAATCAATGTGTTTCTCTCACATTGATTGTTTCTCTCTTTCTTTCTCCCTCTCCCTTCCACTCTCTGTAAATCAGTGTGGGGGAAAAATCCTCAGGTGAGTTTTAACAACAAAAAACCTGCTCCAGAAAGTCTTTACGTGGGACAACAGAACCAATTACCATACGATGCTTTGTGATCACATAGTCAGTAAACTATGTTATAAACAGACTAATGGCCCAGTGTATGAAATTCTTGCACATTAAAAGGGAATTAATTAAAGGAAATATTTTAATATTGCTATTCACGTCCCCTGACCCAGTGCTGGGTGGGAAGACAGCCTCACATCCTCATCCCTGGCCAAGCCCCAGCTGAGAGGCAGCCTCACATTCCAGGCTGGCGCAAGTCCCCGCCCAATGTTGCTACAAGTCCCCATGCGACACCCCCCATCTCCTCCCCCCCTCCCCACCCGCCTCGCATGCAGCCTCCTACTGTTCAGTCCTTATGGTATCATGTGTGATGACCATATTCATATTAGTCTTTTATTATGATGATTATGATATCTGGCTCAACTTTTTGATCATTATGTGTGATAAATCCCTGGGAATGTAATCACCCAGCCCAGGAGCCTGAGTATTTGCTACATCCTGGAACTGTCTCCAGAAATGCTGTCTGTCCCTGTACTTTGGAGCAGTGCTATCAGGGGTCTGTTTCATCACACCCTCTCCAGTGCTGAATATTTGGTTTCTTAAAAGTTCCAGGTATCTGCCGAAACCGGTTTGGCTCAGTGGATAGAGCGTCAGCTTGGGGACTGAAAGGTCCCGGGTTCAATTCCAGTCAAGGGCATGTACCTTGGTTGCGGGCATATCCCCAGTGGGGGGTGTGCAAGAGGCAGCTGATCGATGACTCTCTCTCATCGATGTTTCTAACTCTATCTCTCTCCCTTCTCTCTGTACAAAATCAATAAAAATATATGTTTAAAAAAAATTTCCAGGTATCTTTTCTTTGCAATTACTTGATTACCTTTGACATTAACTTTTCTCATGTATATTAGTTACTCTATTTCTTCTTTAGTTCAAGGTCTTTGTTCAGACATATTCTTCTTTGAGTAATCTTATTTTGTTTCAGTTCATGGGAAGTAATAGCAGCTTCCATGGAAGAAGGTGGAGGGCTAGAGAGGGAGGGGAGAGAGTGGTGCTGGACCAGATGTGGTTGGCAGTGGCTCCTGTTAAAGGTTAGATCGGAGGTGAGGGGGTTAAGGAAGGTGTTAGGTTCTGAGACAAATGTTAGGGTGAGGCACGCAGTCAAAGGTCACCATTGGGAGGCTGGACCCTGGGGTCTGATGGGGAGGATGAGGGTCAGACTCAGGTTTGGTGAGGGAGGCAGGAGGGGAGTGGTCTAGCTGGGAAGGCCTGTGGGTCTGGGTGGCTCCCAGATTCAGGCGCCCAGCACTCGCCACCAGCGCCGGGGCCACCGCACTATCCAGGCCCCATGACAGCCAGATGGACCTGCAGCTTCAGCTCCAGCTGCACTGCAGGGGCTGCGGGAGGTCTCATGGCCCCCAAGCCTGTACCTCCTCCCTGAGCTGGGCGCCCGGCCCCTCTAGGTGACGTCATCTGGTGACATTAGCAAGGTGCGCCACACAGCCTGATGCTGCGCGGGCTGGGGGAGACTTTCTGGGAGGAGGTCCTCTGCCCCCTAACCCCACCACCGCAGGCCCGGAGCCCTCATCTCTGCACACGTGGTCATCTGTAACAGGCACCCAGGGGGGGAGGGGGGGGGCAGGTTTCCGCATTGTTGGAAAACCCTCGTCCCAAGAGTCCCATAGTCCTAGTGTTGCCACATGACTGCATGGCCTCCGTGTTAGTGTTATGCCACTACTTTCTGATGCCAGTTTTGCACCTTAAACTCTTAAAATAACCGCAAGAACAGCTTCCCTCTTTGCCCTCCTGGGGCTCACAGTTCTGTTGCATATGCTCCTTTCAAAGGGCAGTTTCTAGTTCTTGGCCAAGCGGGGTGTCGCTGACTTTTCATTCTAGGTTTGCATATGGGGCATCCTGAATTCTGTGAGGATGGTGACTGTTTACAGCAAACCTGTGAGCAGACAAATACGATCCCCATTTTACTCTCCGACTGTAGTAACATTTCCTCATGTGGGACTGGATCCTATAAACCAATTCCCACTCTCCACTATACTGAATAAGAATGAGGATCCAGCTCACCTTTCACATGAAGAGCCAGTGAGCCAGTCTCACGTCCCTGGCCAGGGCGCCAGGCTGGGGGGCAGCCACATGTCCCAGCAGCACAAGCCCCCACCCCCTTCCCTGCAGACCAGCTCCCCTTGTTGAACAGTCATTGCTGTGACAGAATAATGACAGTTTGCATATTACCTCTTTAATTATATAGATGTGCTATCATCTGGGCTTTGTTGTTCCATGTATAAAGCACAGGCAGAGTAGAATAGCATAAATCTTAAATGAGCATTGGCTTTAACTTAGTCACTAGCTGCATTAGCCCCTAACAAGAGAGTCAACCTGTCCTTTGAATCCAGGTGTTGACTTATCTCTAGCCATGAAAGTCCTAGATGGCATCTTTTTCCAATATCAGGCTACATTGAAATATGTTGTTTAGTGCAGCCACCTTCATTAATGGTCTGAGTTAGGTCTTCTGGATAACTTGCTGCTGCTTCTACCGGCACTGCTGCTTCACCTTGCACTTCTGTTATGCCTCTTTCCTTAAGCCTCATGAACTAACCTCGGCTGGCTTTGAACTTTCTTCTGCAGCTTCTTCACCTCTGTCTGACACCAGTGATCAGTACTTGAAATAATTAACTTATTTTTGTCTTGTTTGTCTCCATATACTTGCAGGTGGACTTCTTTAAAAAAAAAAAAAAATGATTTTTTTTAAAGAGAGGAAGGGAAAGGGACAGAGAGCTAGAAACAATGATGAGAAACATCGACCAGCTGCCTCCTGCACACCCCCTCCCAGGGATGTGCCCGCAACCAAGGTACATGCCCTTGATCAGAATTGAACCTGGGACCTTTCAGTCCGCAGGCCGACCTTTATCCACTGAGCCAAACCAGTTTTGGTGCATGTGGACTTCTTGAAGGCAGGACTATCTTTTTTGAGCCAGGCAAGTACCTGGTACATAACAGGCACTCAAATATTTGTTGATGGGTTGATTTATCAGATACTATGAGAGCTAGTTTTTTCCTCCTAGTAGCCTTTAATGTTTAAGAGCACAGAGAAATGAGTACATTTTGGGGTTTATTTTGATAGGCTTTTCATGATGAAGTTAAAAAAAATTTAAAGTTGGAAAAACACAAGAAAATAAGGAGGTTGAAAATAGTCTTATGTTAATTATGTAAGAGTTCACACTTGGCCTAGGCTGCCATGCACCTTCCTTTCTTGGAAATATTGATAGCATTTCTGCAGCAGAATTCCCACTGTTTTGTATGATAGAAACAAATTGTTAAACCTTGAGTATTAGAAGTTTAAAGTGTTTTTAAGTTTGGAATGTTTGTATTAATGCTGTCTGGGGGAATACACATAAATAAGATATCATGTACAACCAAAGAACCCTTTTAAAAAAAAAATTATTGATTTCGGAGAGGAAGGAAGAGCAAGAGAAAGAGGCAGGGGGGAGAGAGAGAGAGAAACATCAATGATAAGAGAGAATCATTGATTGGCTGCCTCCTACAGGCCCCCTACTAGGGATTGAGCCCACAACCTGAGCATATGCCCAAGTACTTTTCCATGATCACATGGCTAATAGGTGGCAGAGTCGGAAGTTGGGCTCACGTATTCTGACATTGTCTTTCCATAGCATACTCAGTGTCCTTGACTGAATGCTGTCCAAAGGTCACTTCCTTAGAGAATCTCCCCTGATGTGTGCCCTGCTCCTTGTCCCCTGACCCCAGGCAGTTAGTCCCTCCATGTAGAATTTTGAATACTTGTCTGTTACAATAAAGCTCATCTAATTTTTACAGTGTATAGAATGTATTTTTTTTTATTGTAAAGGTTGGTCATGAAGCTCTTTTTTCTTTTAGTGAAAGGCAAAGAACAAGATAAGACTTCAGATGCCAAGTCAGTTAAAGGTGAGTTCAGCAATATTCCATTGTATTAAAAAGGGATGTGCTTTGCATTCATGAGTTCTTCAGTCCTGTTATTTTCTCCCTTCATTTGCCATTCATCATTTCTGCCCTTTTTAATAATTATTTGTGATTGATTTATTTTCCTGTTTAACTTTTATATACCCCAACACCTACCATATAATAAATATGTTTTCACTAAGCATCTGTTGGCTCTTCTAGTGATTACTGTGAATCAGTGTCTTCCTTTAACCACACATTTGAGTGTTCCCTAAAAGTGATTAGTTTAGTTTATTTTAAAACGGCAAAAAGTAAAAAATGCTCTTAACTGAGTGAAAGCACTCCTTGGTTTTCTGTTTGTCCACCAGTGTGGATGGTAACAGTTTTCACTTCATTACTTTGGATGAATGACCTTAACTTAAACTTATTCTGAGTACTTTATTAGAATCAGTATATTATCCCTGATAATAAGACATTCTTAGGTTATACTCTTTTCTGTAGTTTTGACTGATTTAATTCTTTCAATGTACAAAGATTATAATAAGAAAATTAAAATGGAAATTATTTCCATAGCCATTACACATAAATTTTATAAGTAGAATTTATTTACATAAAATCTGTGGGTTGCCACTTATTTAGATTTTTTTTCAATTGTTTATTTGTTGTGTGACTAGCATTGAGTATTAACTCCATATGTTCAATTTGCCGGAGACTAATAATAACTTAAGAGATTTGTAAGATATTTTCCTGGTTATTTTTGATTATTATATTTAAAGCCAGTTGAATTCCATGTTAGTGACTGCCCTCTAATTTGATTGGCATTGATGGAGGCTAAAAGCCCTTAGCAAGCAGAGGCTTGTGAAGACTAGATTTGATTGTAGTAGGAAGGAGAGATTGTGATGGCTCAGGCATATACTAACAGTATAACTTTGGAAGTCATGTAACTTCCTTTAGATTCTCATTTGCAGGTTAAGAGGGTTGGCTTACCTAACTTTTACATTGTACCAGGCTAAAACAAAGTTCCATGCTTGTATCTATTAATGACTATATATAATCTGTGCTTAGCATTCCTGACATTATTTAAAAAATAATTTGAAGACAGCCTCATTGCATAATTCTCTCAACTCATTGAATAATTGATAAATATAGATACCTGGAAACAGGTGTGAACATTCATGTTTTTATCTGCTTTATTCTATAAACACATCTCGAGGAGTAATACCCCATTTCCCCGAAAATAAGACAGTATCTTATATTAATTTTTGCACCCAATGCGCTAGGTCTTATTTTCAGGGGATGTCTTATTTTTCCATGAAGAAGAATACGGTACACATTTATTGTTAAATGAAAATAAAGGAAATTTATTACCTGTATACGGTACGGTAGTACAGTAGTTGTTAACACAAACCTGACAAACTGTGAATCCTACAGTATCAAGAATTTTCTCATTTATTCAATGACAATCATGACATCATCTTCTGGAATACCATCGTAACAATCCAATTCCTGAATTTCCTGGTGAATTTCTTGTGACTCCATTTCTTTCAGAATCAGTGGACCAAATCTCTCATAGCAATATGAGAGATTAGCAATAGCATTCTGAGACAGAGCCTAGGGGGGCTTTATTTTCTGGGGATGCCTTATATTTCACTCAGAAGGAAACCTGTAAGTACGTCTTATTTTCGGAGGATGTCTTCTTTTCGGGGAAACACGGTAGGTTAAATTACAGCACTATGTATTTTGTCTTTCATAAGAACTACGGTATTACCAAGTATTACTCAGATTCTGTGTTTGGGAGCTACTACTATTTACTGAGATAGAAAGCACCTATTGACTGCTCAATAAAATAAGTGGTGTTGCCCAGCCAGTGTTGCTCAGTGGCTGAATGTCGACCCATAAATCAGGAGGTCATGGTTCGATTCTTGGTCAGGGCACATGATCTCGCTGTGTGCTCGATTTTCAGTAGGGAATATCCTGGAAATTAAGCCTGCAGCCCAGTCATATGCTCTGACCAGGAATCGAACTGGGATGTTCAACCACTGAACCATGCCTATGGGCAAAATATTTAATTTTAAAAGTTCTCTTAAAGCCCTCTTTTGAGAAAACGAGGGCTTTAAGAAAACTTAAGATGTTTTGAGAAATTATAAAATTTTAATTTTTAACAATTTTTTGAAAAATTATAGCCTCAAATCCTGTATATTCCCCACAAAAAAGCACTAAAAATCATGCATTGCTGGAGGCTGCAGGACCAAGTCATATTGCAATCAATGCCATTTCTGCCAACATGGACTCCTTTTCAAGTAGCAGGACGGCAACACTCAAGAAGCAGCCAAGCCACATGGAGGCCGCTCATTTTGGTGACTTGGGTAAGTAACCATCACTTTTTATTAAACTTACAATAGGAGGAGGGCGTTCAGTATAATATGTGAATTCCTGCCAAAGGATACTGAACTATATAATTAAAAAATGTATACAAACTAAAATAATAGCTGTAAGTGTAATGGAAGCACTGTGTTTTGTTTCTATAAATACAAAATATAAAGGACACGCAATAAAAAAAATGGCCATGTCCAGAAGAAGAAATACATTTGATCTGACTGTATGAAAAAGATGCCTCATTTCACTGATACTCAGGGAAATGAAAATTAAAATAGGTAAAATTTTTTAAGTAAATAAATATTTAAAGTTTAATAATTTGTTAATGTAGATGCAAAAAAATAGCCACTTCTTTTTAGTGGAAGTGCAAATTGGCGAAGATTTTTTTAAAAGACAATTTGTAAGTATTTATCAAAATATATACAATCTAGTCCTTGGTATGCTCACGTGTATGCACAAAGGTGTATACATAAATATGTATAAGGCTACTCATTGCAGTATTGTTTGTGATAGGGAAGAATTAGGAACAAATATAAATAACCTTTGATGGAGAAATAGTCAAATTTTGATATAACCATATTCTGGAATACTTTATAGCCATTTAAAGTCTGAAAAAGACATGGAGAAATGTCTGATACATTAAAGTGAAAAAGCAGCTTACATAGCAGTATGTATAGTAGGATTCCTGTTGTGTAAATAACTCCTTTTTCTCTCAAAAAAGATATGCAGATTCCTTACAACTGCAAATGAATCTACTATATCTCAGAATTAAAAGTTTAATGAAAAATTTTAAGTCTTGAAGTTCATGAAATGAATGTCTACGAAGATGGACTAGTTAACATTGACAATAAGATAGTCAGCAAGGATGATGATATGTAAAATGCTTCAAAAGATAGTTGAGTAGCAAAGGATCAAGAAAAGCCATTTTGAAAAATTGATGTAACTGTCAGTTAATTTTATGAAAATAAATCTCTTTATGTCATCCTGTGAAAATTTAAAAAACACACACCAAGATTTGATTTTTTGTTTTTTAATAGCTGTGGTTATAATCACAACTAAATTTAGTTAAATGTAAAATAAACTTGTTTTTATTAAGTTTATTTGGTTTTATTTTTTTTTAAGATAAAATCCCAGAGCTACTCTTTATTCTGTTTTAAATAATATTAAGAGTTATAACACTTTTCTAGCTATCTCCCCACACAATCACAATTGATCTCTAGGGTAAGTTCCTAGAAATGAAGTTATTAAATTGAAAATCATGCGGATTGTTTAGGTTTGTTATCTGTTATTGATTCTCCTCCAAAAACCTCTCATTATCAGTGGTGAGAATGCTTCCTGTTCCATTGTGCCTTTCTAGTGCTTGTTATTTCTTTCTTAAAACAAAATTTTTTTTATTGATTTCAGAGAGAGAGAGACATTGAGAGAGAGAGAGAGAGACATTGATGATGAGAGATAACCACTGATCAGATTCGGGCAGGATCGATCCTCAGTTTACTGATTCATAGGTTGCTGCTTAACTATTGAGCTACACCAGCCAGACTATTATTTTTTTTTTTAATACCTTCCAGTTTGACAAGCTAATACGTTATCTTGTATTAATTTGCTTTTCTGGAATTTTTTATAATGTTGAATATTTAAAAAAAATTATTAGCCTTTTTCTTTCTTTGGGACTAGTACCATAAGATTTTTTTTATAAGATATATATATATTTCAGATTGGAAGGAATTGGGAGAGAGAGAGAGAGAAACATCAATGATGAGAGAGAATCATTCATGGCTACCTCCTGCACACCTCACACTGGGGACTGATCCCGCAACCCAGGCAGTTCCCTGACAGGGAATCGAACCATGACCTCCCGGTTCAACCACTAAGCCACACTGGCTAGGCCATAAGATTTTAAGAAAAGAATTTACATGGTTTTGATCATTGTAGTAAATCTAGTTATTAATAACTGGAGAGGTGCAGTGGGGAGGCCAAGTACTTTAGGCACTCCATCTGTGTGCTTTGCCATAGATCTCTGGGACTGGACAGGGGAAGAATAGACGCATACCTAGTGCAGTCTGGGTGACATAGGAAAGGTACTTGTTTGTCAGTCAAACCTGGGAAGAGGTCATTGGCAAGAGTAAGCATAGCCACTGCAAGCTCAGGAAGACCTGAGACATTTAATCTCCTACACAGAGGATTGCTCTGCGCCCTTTCTTGCTTGTGTTTGGAGCTCTTGGCACTCTTGTTGCAGAGACACGCTCTCTTGGCTCCGCTGCATTCGCCCACATGGCCCATGGCCTTGTAGACCACACACAACAGGCTAATGATGGCAATGACCCTGATGCTGATAAACTGGGCTCAGCACCCCACGAAATGGGAAGTTTGGATGCTGACTTTGCTCCCAGCCCTGCTGAATCCCCAGCTGCACATCTTTCAGGAATGGATTAAGGGAAATGGGACTGGAAACCCAGAGAGAATTCCAAACAAACAAAAATGATTCATTCTTCTGTGCGAGTCTCAGATAATTTTTTTTAAAATATATTTTTATTTATTTCAGAGAAAATGGGGGAGGAAGAGAGAGAAACATCAAGGATGAGAGAGAATCATTGATGGGCCACCTCCTGCATGCCTCCTCCTGGGGATTGAGCCACAACCTGAGCATGTGCCTTTGACTGGAATCAAATCCGGGACCCTTTAGTTCACAGGCCAACGCTCTATCCATTGAGCCAAACCAGCTAGGGCAGTAATTCTTTTTCTTGAGTTATTGTAAGGACCCGACTCTAGTACCCACTGGGAAAGGGGATACCCCACTTTCACCAATAACAGCCTGAATTTCCATTTAAAAAGTTGAGGATTATTTGAGTAACAACGAGCTTTTTAATAATTTAAGTTTTGGACAGTTGTTTCTTTGCTTGTTTAGGAACCAAAACCATTGTATTTCTAGTTGTTTATCCATTTAAGTAGCTAGGAAGTAAACTTTATTTAAGAACTTTGATGCTATTTGTTACTGAACTGCTAATTCTTTTGCTTTTTTTAGGCAGGTCTTGTCTGGACTACCAGATTCAAGAGGCCAAATCAAGTCTTTCAAAGACTCTTGAACAGGTCTTGCATGACACTATTGTCCTCCCTTATTTCATTCAATTCATGGAACTTCGGAGAATGGAGCATTTGGTTAAATTTTGGTTAGAAGCTGAAAGTTTTCGCTCTACAACTTGGTCCCGAATAAGAGCACACAGTCTGAACACAGTGAAGCAGAGCTCATTGGTTGAGCCTGTCTCTCCATCTAAAAAGCAAGAAACTGCAGCACCTTTTGTGACCGAATCTCTTGACAAGAGATTAGAGGATTCTAGCTCAACCCAGTTGCTTGTGACTCAATCAGAAGAAAGTGACCTGAATAATAGAACTAGCAACACTCAGAATCGCTTGCTCCTTTCCGAGGAATGTGATAGTGCCCATTCTCTCCATCTTGAAATGGCAAGAAGAGAAGCTCATCAAGTTTCCATGGAAATCCAAGAATCCTCCCCCAGACTTACAGTAGCCAGTAGAAATAGTCTTTCTTCTCCACTAAAGGAATTATCAGGAAAACTAATGAAAAGTAAGTGTGTGATTTCCATCTTTCTCTTTGTTCTTCTTTTATTTTAAATCAATTTACAAAGTGGGACTTGAGATGGAGAATAAAAGGATCAAACTGATTTTTTCTCCCATATCTACTTTTAAATTTGGAAAGATTTGGAGAGTGTCCTGGAGTAGGGTCAGTGTATAAAAAAGGAACAGCAGGGAAGGATGTTAGCAGAATTAACAAATGAAGGTCAAGTACCATCCCGCTTATCTTTCCATAAATTTTTAAAATCAACTAGTTGTCCAGATAGACTTAGTCCATCCTGTCTGTCTGAATTTTATTACACTTTTACTGTACTTTGCAAATAAATTTATTATTTATAGCTAGTAAGTGGCAGTTATTGTGTTCTCATTTAATGGTCACCACACCTCTGTGAGGTAGGCTTTATTATTCTGTTTTGCATGAGAAAACCATGGCTTAGAAAGGTTAAGTAACTTGCCCTGGGTTTTATAGAAAGTGGAAAGCTAGGATTATAGCCCAGGCATTTCACTGCAGCAGCCTTTCTTTTTTTTATTCTCTATGTGGAAATTACACACTCTTATTTTTAGTTGTCACCATCTGGAAATCTAATTAGACAGCCTTTGTGTTTTTTATCCTGTATGTTCTTTATTTCTCAGAGGGCTAGGTGATTTTCTTTCTGTTTTGTTTTTCTTGTTTGCTTATTTTTTTAGAGCAGTTTAATGTTCACAGCCAAATTCTGGGGAAGGTACAGCTTACCCATGTACTGCCTAGGCATTGTTTTGGTTTAATCTTCTACCCTTTTTGGTCCTGGGGCAACTGTCTTTGAAACTGCAAGCTCTAAGTCTTTTGAAATTGGTGGCTTTTCGCAGGTGAGTGCCCTCCCGGCCTTGCACTTTTACCCATCTTGATTTGCCGTTAGCTTCCTCAGGTCTGCAATTCAGAAATATAGAAAATGTTGACTGCCACAAGTTATTTTTTAAACTGAACAAAACTTGAACTGTTATGGACTTATTGCATAAATATGGATGTGTTTTATTTTGGAGTATTGTCCTACATGCTGGGATTATGATAGTGGTATAGATAAAGACATTGCATTACCTCTGTAATGCATACCCTCGTTCTGAATTCTACAAGATTACCAGCCCCAGAGGGTTCAAAGGAGCTGTTGTACTTGTTTTTGCCTCTCGTTTCCGTACTTTACCACAAGCTCTGGTACACTTCTTCTTTTTTTTTTTTTTAATCAATCTTTATTGTTCATATTATTACAAAGGTTCCTCATTTCTTCCCCCCTCCACCAGGTTCCCACCCCACCCTCTGCCCCCTCCCCATCCCCCATTGTCCTCATCCATAGGTGCACAGTTTATGTTCAGTCTCTTCTTCCCTCCCTTTCCCAATAGTAAATCCCTTTTCAGATGGTAAATCAGTTACTTAGCATTTTCTCATATCAATAATACCTCCACATGTCCAAAGATACACTTCACACAAAAGACATTTCCAAATAGGTCAACCAACCTCATCCAGGCCCCGCACAAGGCACTCACAGATCAACACCCCAGCGCTATACTAACTCAACACATCCAGATCTAAGCCTTCATCACTTGATTCAGCAGACCCTCAAGTTCCCGCGAAAGTTTCCAGCCATGTCTGAGAGGCAGCCTTGGAGCGGGGACAGGCGAGGAGCGAGCTGTTCCGGGCCTGGTTGCTCAGGGCCTGGCCTCTGTTGCTCTGGTTCGTTCCACAACAAGCTGCTCCGGGTCTGGTCACTGCTGCTCCCGACCTAGTTGCTCTGGACTTGGTTGCTGCTGCTCCGGGCCTGGCCGCACCCGACCCGGCTGCTCTGGGCCTGGCCACTCCCAGCCTGGCAGCCGCTGCTCTGGGCCTGGCCGCACCCGACCCAGCTGCTCCAGGCCTGGCCGCTCCCAGCCCGGCAGCCGCTGCTCCAGGCCTAGCCACACCCATCTGGTACACTTCTTAAAAAGCATTATGGGAGTTTCTTTGAACACCCAATCTGGCCTATTTCTGCAAATGGAAGTCCAATATCTGTTTCTTTCATTACAATATTCTGTATTATTTTTTAAAACTGTCATTGGGTGGTACTTAATTTCAATAAAAAATTGAAATAGTAGTGGAGTTATTTTTAAAGTATTTGTTTTCTCCTTTTTCATTATTTTTAAAATTTATGTGCAGTAAATTCACTTTTTTGATATATACTTGTATGAATTTTGACACCTGCATAGATTCCTATAACTGTTATCACAAGCAGAAAGACCTTTGTAGTCAAGTCCTCTGTATCCCAACACTTTCAACCTGCCAGTGTCCATGTCTCTAGTTTAGCCTTTTCCAGGGTGCCATATAAGTGAATGTGCATTGTATGTAGCTTTTTTGTTTGTTAATTCTAATGTGAGGATATTTTTTCCATTGATTTTTAGAGAAAGGAGACGGGGGAGAGACACACATGCATTTATGTGAGTCAAGACATGGGTTGGTTGCCTCCCACACATGCCCCTAATGGGACCAGGGATCAAACCTGCATCACAGGTACATGCCCTTAACTTGGAATTATACCCAGGACTCTCCAATCACTGAGCCACATCAGCCAGGCTATATTATATACTATGTTTCCCCGAAAATAAGACATCCTCCGAAAATAAGACCTACTTACAGGTTTTCTTCTGAGTGAAATATAAGGCATCCCCCGAAAGTAGAGCCCTCCTAGGCTCTGTCTCAGAATGCTATTGCTAAACATAAGAGATTTGGTCCATTTCTTAATTCTGAAAGAAATGGAGTCACAAGAAATTCACCAGGAAATTCAGGAATTGGATTGTTACGATGATGTTCCAGAAGATGATGCCATGATTGTCATTGAATAAATGAGTAAATTCTTGATACTGTAGGATTCACAGTTTGTCTGGTTTGTGTTGACAACTACCGTACCGTATACAGGTAATAAATTTCCTTTATTTTCATTTAACAATAAATGTGTACCGTATTCTTCTTCATGGAAAAATAAGACATCCCCTGAAAATAAGACCTAGCGCATCTTTGGGAGCAAAAATTAATATAAGATACTCTCTTATTTTCGGGGAAACAGGGTAGTTAAGTCTGTTTCTGGACTCTGTTCTGTTCCATTGTTTTATGTCTGTCTTTCTTTTTTTTTTTTTTTTTTAATCTTTATTGTTTATATTATTACAAAAGTTCCTCATTTTTTCCACCTCCACCAGGTTCCCACCCCACCCTCTGCCCTTTCCCCACCCCCCATTGTCTTCATCCATAGGTGCACAGTGTATGTTCATTCTCTTCACCCCCACTCTCCTCTTCCCCGAGAATTGTCAGTCCACTCCCCTTCCATACGATTCTATTATATTCAACAGTTAATATTGTTCATCAGATTTTTTAATTCCCTTGGTTTTTAGAATCACTTGTTGATAGTTACATATTTGTTGTTCATAATTTTTATCTTTATTTTCTTCCTCTTCCTAAAGAACCCCCTTCAGCAATTCATATAATTCTGGTTTGGTGGTGATGAACTCCTTTAGCTTTTTTTAAAATTTTATTTGTGAAGTTCTTTATCTGGCCTTCAATTCTGAGTGATAGGTTTGCTGGGTAGAGTATTTTTGGCTGTAGGTTCTTGCTATTCATCTCCTTGAATATTTCTTGCCATTCCCGTCTGGCCTGCATGGTTTCTGTTGAGAAATCAGCTGACAGTCGTATGGGTGCTCCTTTATAGGTAACTACCTGCTTTGCTCTTGCTGCTTTTAATATTCTCTCTTTGCCTTTTGCTCTTGGAATTTTAATTATGATGTGTCTTGGTGTGGTCCTCTTTGGATTCCTTTTGTTTGGGATTCTGTGTGCTTCCTGGTCTTGTGAGTCTATTTCTTTCACCAGGTGGGGGAAGTTTTCTGTCACTATTTCTTTCAGTATGTTTTCGGTATCTTGCTCTCATCTTCTGGGAAGCCCATAATTCTGATGTTGGTTCGCTTGAAGTTGTCCCAGAGGCTTCTTACACTATCTTCAACTTTTTGGATTCTCTTGTCTTCTTGCTTCTGGGGAGGAGTCTCCTCTGACTCTTTGTGTTCCAAATGTTTGACTTGATTCTTGCGATCTTCCATTCTATTTTTAGGACTCTGTATAATATTTATTATTTCAGACAATGTATTCTTTATTTCTAGTTGATCCCTTTTCATATCCTCATAGGTCTCATTTATTTTATCGGCCTTTTCTAGGAAATTCTTGAAAAACCTTATAAGCATGGTTTTGAACTCTCTATCCAGTCACTTTTTGTCCTCCATTTCTTTCGTTTGTGATCTGTTTCCTTGTGTCAGCATTTTCGCTGATTCCCTGAGTTGGTAGGGTAGCTTTGTGTGTTAGGTGTCCTATATGGTTCAGTGGGTCAGCCTCCCTTTGTGGACTGTGTGTACAGCCTTTTATAATTAAGTTTTAATTGTTGTTGGTATCACTAGGAGGAACTGACCTCCAGGTCAATTGGCTGTGAGGATCAGCTGTGTCTATACACAAAAGCCTCTGTGCTTAGCTTGGATGGGGCACAGTTTCAGGGTGGAGCTTACAGCCTTGGCTTCCTGTCAGCCCCGCCCTATGAGGTTCCTGAGTGTCCTTTGGTACTTGGTGCTTTGGTACTCGCTGCAAGCACCTCTGAGAGAAAGGTGCCCTCAAGTTTCGCCCACTACCAGACAGTCTAGTCCCTCCCCCAATGAGCCCGGAACTGGGGTTCTGTGCAATTGGAAATGGGGTTAAGACCAGTCTGGAGCTTATGTCTCCTTCCCGCTAGGGCAATCCAGTGGCACAGTCAACAGTCAATCCTCTGCGCGCAATGTGCGCGACACCGGGGCTCTGCCTTTTGCCGCTCCCCTGAATTTCTGCCTTACAGCGCAGATTCCCTCCATATGAGCTTCAGTCCCCAGGGTCTGGTCTAGAACTGGGGTTCGGTGCAGTCGGAACTGGGGCTCAGCACAGTCCAGAGCTTTTGTCTCCTTCCTGCTAGGTCAATCCAATGGCAC